GACAAACATGCATGCATGCATGCAAGGGTTTAGGGTTTAGGGTTTAGGGTTGTTGTTTAGGGTTTGGGCATTCGTCATTTGGGTTTAGGGCTTGTTTCGTACGGGTTAGGGATTGGAGATTAGGGTTTAGGGTTTACGGCTTGCTGTATAGGGTTTAGGCTTTGTTGTTTAGGGTTTAGGGTTTAGAGTTTAGGGTTTGTTGTTTAGGGTATGTTGCTTAGGGTTCACTGTTTAGGGTTTGTTGTTTAGGGTTTAGGGTTTAGGGTTTAGGGTTTACGCGTCCGTCGACTACGAGTACTGCGCACGCCGCCATTTGAATCGCCACTGCGATTTGGTCTTGCAACTAAAAATAAAAATAATAATAAAATAAATAAATAAATAAATAAATAAATAAAATAATTAATTAATTAATTAATTAAATCAAATAAATAAACAAATAAATAAATGAGGCGACAGAAAAAGATACAAATGAATTTAAATAAATACACCAAAATTAAAAATAAAAATAAATAGACGAATAAAAATAAGAAGTAAAAACAAATAAATATACATCAACAAATATAAATAAAAATAAAATATAAATAAAAAACAAATAAATAAATAAATAAATGTAAACAAACAAACACAAATATATTAAGCAAATAAATACGCAAATAAACATAAACAGGCGAACAAACAAATACATATAAATATATACATATATATATTTATATATATTTATCTATTTATATATATTTATATATTTATATATATAATTTATTTATATATTTATATTTATTTATATATTTAGATTTGAGTTGCTTCGTGAATAAAAAGAATAAAAAGTAATAACGCGAAGACAAATAAAAAAATAAATACAAATAAATAAACGGGTAAACAAAAAAATAAATAAATTAACTAAATAAATAAAATAAAAAAGCAAAGTAATATAAATAAATAAATAAATATAAATATATAATAAATAATATCAATAGAAAACAAACAACTAGAGAACTAAAGAAACAAAAATATCGATCTCAACATAATTGGGGTGTATGCACAGCTATTTTTTTTTGATTATTTACCTGCGCAGCGAAGGGCCCTTCTTTGATAATTTCATTTGTTATTCCTCCCGTATCGATGACTTCAATTTGTTTGTCTCTCCAAGTTGTTGCTGCATGCAATCTGTCTCGCGTCGTGCCGGCTGCAGCACTAACAATAGCACCACCTGCAGCAGCAGCAAGGGGGCCCCCGAAGCAAATTCGATTAAATAAAGAACTCTTCCCTGTGTTTGGTCTCCCTAATAAACATATACGAAATGTAGGAGCTGCTGCTGCTGCTGCTGCTGCTGCTGTTGCTGTTGCTGCTGCTGGTGTTGGTGGTGGTCCTGCTGCTGTTGCTGCTGCTGTTGCTGCTACTGATGATGATGATGGGGGTGGAGGTGATGATGCTTCTTCTTCTCCTGTTGCTGCTGCGAGTGCAGCGCGTAAACCTCTTCCTGCTACTACTGCTGTTCTTGCTGCTGCTGCTGTTGTCGTTGCTGCTGCTGCTGCTGTTGTTGCTGCTGCTGCTGCTGGTCGTGCTGCAGTTGGCAATAGTCGGCAGCAGAATTTAGTTTGTGTGTTCAGGGGGTTTTCTTTTCTTAACCAGAAGAAAGGGCCCCCACGCAAGACTGCTGCGTCTCCTTGCTGCTGCTGCTGCTGCAGCTGCAGCAGCAGCAGCAGCAGCAGCAGTAGCAGCATCAGCGTCAAGCAGCAGCTCTATTAGAGGGGACCCCTAGGCGTCGAGCGGCGTCCTCACGCTATCTGCAGCAGGCAACAGAAGCCGCTGATGCTGCTGCTGCTGCTGCTTCCTCTTTAAATGCTGCTGCATTGCAAGCTGCGTATACACCCGAATGAAACCTCTTCAGTACCCTCTGGGGGCCCTTGGGGGCCCCCGATCGCTGCACATGGGGACAAGCCAATCAAAACCCTCAAGGGTTTAGGGTTTATGGTTTAGGGTTTAGGGTTTAGGGTTTAGGGTTTAGGGTTCAGGGTTCAGGGTTCAGGGTTTAGGGTTTAGGGTTTAGGGTTTAGGGTTTAGGGTTTGTAGCTGCCGGCTTAAGGTGAAAAAAGCTTTATATTTTTCCTCGTGTTGAGTAAATAAAGATTATAATTGACGTTTACTGATTAAATTAAATATATTTTGTCGCTGTTTTATTTATTTTGTTTATTTTGTTTCTCCTTTTACTATCATCAGAGGCGGCTGCCATCTGCTGCAGGTGTGGGGCCCTGAAGTGTTTGTTTGCTGCAGCATTTTCCTGCATCGATAAGATTAAATTAACAACAATTTAATTAATTTTATTAATTTTATTTTATTTAGTTGTTTATTTAAACAATTTATATCGCAGCAACGTCTCACGAGGTGTATAGGCAGCTGCTGGACTCGTCTGAGTGCTCCTGTTGCTGCTCCTGCTGCTGACGCTGCTGCTGTTGTTGTTGTTGCTGCTGCTGCTGCTGTTCTGTACAGAGGCTTGGTGCTGATGGGCCGTCCTGCAGCGGCGGCGGCGCAAGCCGCAGGCGAGTCTGCTGCTGCTCTCGACGCCGACCCCTCCAGCAGCAGCAGCAGCAGCAGCAACAGCAACAGCAGCAGCTATGGTATACGCACGCGGAGTGCTAGGGCCAGAGAGGTCCAAGAAGCTGCCGCTGATAGCAGCAGCACAACTGCTGCTGCTGGCACCACCAGGAGCAGCAGGAGCAGCGGCAGCAGCAACAGAAACAACAGCAGCAACAGCAGCAGCAAAAGTACGCCCGCTAGGAACCGGAGCCGCAGCAGCAAAGGTCGCAACAACAGCAACAGCAGCAACAGCAGCAACAACACCAACAGCAACAGCAATATCAACACCGAAAACAGCAGCAGCAGCAGCAGCAGCAGCAGCATCATCATCATCAGTAGCTCCCTTGGCGGCACTGGCAGCAGCAGCAATAGCGACAGCAACAACAACAGCAACATTAGTAGCATCAGCAGCAACAGCAGCAGCAGCAAACCATTTCGTTTAGGTGCTACCCCTCGCATATCGCTGGGGCTGTTGGGTGTCGGCGCCTCTTCAAGGCAACCCTCATCTGCTGCTGCTGCTGCTGCTGAGACAGGTGCAGCAGCAGCAGAAGCAGCAGCAGCAACAACACAGGCGATCCCGGAGGCATTTCGGCATTTGTCTTTGGGTCGTCAAATACCCAAGCCGCTGCTGCAGTCCCTCAGCAGCAGCAGCAGCAGCAGCAACAGCAACAGCAGCAGCGGCAGCAAAGCGCGCCCTCCCACCTACCTCGACACTGCAGCAGCTCCTGGAGTCGTCAGGCTGCAGCCTGTACAACCTGCAGCAGCAGCAGCAGTAGCAACAACCCCACCCAGCAGCAGCAGCAGCAACAGCAGCAGCAGCAGCAGCAACGTGAGAGATGAGAAGCAGGTTATGGAGATGGTTGCTGGCGGCTGTTCGCCTCCCTCTGCTGCTGCTGCATTGCTGCAGCAAGGGGTTTGCATGCATTCGTCTTTGGTGTGTACAGACAGTTTGCAGCTGCAGAAGGCGGAGCGGCAGCAGCGGCAGCAGCAGCAGCAGCAGCAGCTTGACCGATGGTTTAATATGCCTTTAAAAGAAATATCTCCGCAGCTGATGCGAGAACTGCAGCTGCTGCAGCTGCATGCATATGCAAACCCAAAGACATTCATAGGGCGGCGCAGGGGGCCCCTGATACATCTAAAGAAGCTGCAAAGCAACAGCAGCAGCAACAGCAGCAGCAGCAGCAGCAGCAGCAGCAGCAGAGGGGGGGCTCCCAGACAAGCAGCATTTATGCATGTTGCTCGTGTAGTCGGAGGTTCGACAGTGTGTGCAGCAGGAGGTGGTAAGGAGTCTCAAGCAGCAGCAGCAGCAAATAAAGGCCCCGGGAGACGCAGCAGCAGCAACTCGCTGCTGCATGCGCTGCTCAGCAGCAAAGAAGTAAAGAGTTGGTGCTCTAAGAAATATAAACAAATCCAAGAAAAAACTAACAGCCACAAATACAAGCGCAAATTTAAAACAAAGAAAAAACAAAGAAAACATTAAACATATACACATAGACAGACTTGTTATACTATATGTTTAAATATCTATCTATATATATATATAATATATGAAACATATAATATATATATATTATATATATATAGATACTTGTGTAGATATATATTATGTATGATATATTATATATATATGTATATATATATATATATACATATATATATATATATATGTATTATATATATATATATATATGTGAATGTACTATGCATTATTCTTCATATATATGAAATACGGAGAAACATTTAAGGGGACCCTTCTTCTTAGAGACCCTAACAGCAGCTTATGGCAGCAGCAGCAGCAGCAGCAGCAGGAGCTGTTTGCTGCTGTTGCTGCTGCTGCGGGTTTTGGGGGTGAGGGTTATTTTGCCTTCTGTATAAGTTAAACCGGGAGTTAAAAGCATTAAAAATATTTATTTATTTATTTATTTACTTGTTTATTTATAAAATAAATAAACACTCAAGCGCATGCAAACCCACAAAAAGAGCGGGGAGGGGCCCTCACTGTCTCCCTGCAAACGCAGCTAGCAGCAGCAGCAGCAGCAGCAGAAATAACAGCAACAGCAGCAGCAGAATAAACAGCACCAGCAGCAGCAATAGCAGAACAAACAGTACCTACCAGCAGCAGCAATGGCAGCAGCAATAGCAATAGCAGCAGCAGCAACATCAGCAGCATGTCTGTACACCGACAGAGAATAGAGAAGTAGGCCTTCAAATGTGCAGTGTACGCGCAGACAGCCTCCACTGTACGTACAGCTGGGGTGTATATTCAGTTGGGGTGTATGTACAGCTAAGTTTTATATATATATATATATATATATATATATAAATATGTATATTATATATATATATATATTAGCTGGGGTGTATATTCACCTATTTGTGTTAATACTTTTTGGGATTTTCTTCGTTTATATATTAATATTTATATTTCTACGCAGCTAAATAAATAATATTATTTTGTTTATTTAAATAGACAAAACGCGGAGTAAGAAACAGTGAAGACGGCGCAGCATAAACAAACAGCAGCAAAATAAATTAATAAATAATAATACTAAAGACAGAGAATGTAGAGCAGCAAGCGATGCTGCAATTGCATGCGCCTAAAGCTTGCTTCTGCTTGCTGCTGCTTGCTGCTGTCACTCATTGCTGCTGCTACACGTCCCACTGCTGCTGCTGCTGCTGCTGCAGCAGATGAGCATTGATGAGGCGCTCTGTGTCGGTCATGCGCTGCTGCGCTGCTTTTCGATTAGCCTGTCGCTGCTGCTGCGCTCTTAAAAGTGCTGGAAGCTGCTTAACGTTGCCATCTGCTGCAGCTGCTGCTGCTGCTGCTGCTGCGGGAGCAGCAGCAGCAG